ATTCTGAATATTGTTGATTATGAAGTAGCTATGTATTTTAGCATAGGCTATACTTAGGTACAGATGCTGTTGCAATCAACAGAATTTTTTTATGGACATCTTAACTATGAGTTGCTAATTTCCGCCATTACACTGGATATATGGAGAGCATTTAATTGGAGTCTTTTTTTTTTGTCTTGTATGTGAGGGAAATAAGGATTTGCAAAATAGTGTGTAAATAATCTTTGGGTGCTATTTCTTACAAGTTTGTTGCTAAAATTATTTTTCCCTGCATGTGGATGATAATAGCACTTTACCTAAATAATCAGGAAGCAGAAAAAGAGGCTATATGGCAAATAAGATTACTTGAAGATAAGAACAGGATTTCACATCTTGAGGGACAAAATTCAGGCCTGGTTATGAAATACAGGAAGCTTTCAATACAACTCTCTCATCTTCATAGGAACTTCTGTTGTGTTTTTTCTTTCATGCTCCTAATGTATCGACAACAACACTCCCTTACAGTTGAAGTGAGCTTTTACCTGACGGACAACCTTGCCGCCGATGTGTCCTGGGTACCCAACAAACACTATTCCGGAGTGTTCGGCCTGATGAAACTCACCCTCAACAAGGCTCTTCCACAGACACTCAAGAAAGTCATCGTTTTAGACACCGATATAACAGTCGCCACAGATATCGCTGAGTTGTGGAATCTCTTCTCAAAATTTGGACCAAAACAGGTAGGCAGATGTTAACTGGATGATGGACTTGTGAGATATGTCTTGTGTTAGCCTGTTGATAATTGTGTTATTGACTTGATAATTATAGTTTGTTTTCTATAATTACTTGAATTTTGGAAGGTTTCATCTCCGTCTTTTTTATTATTATAGTATATTGGACTGGTGGAGAATCAGAGCGATTGGTACCTCGGCAAATTGTGGAAATCACATCGTCCTTGGCCTGCACTTGGTCGTGGGTAGGTTTTGAATGTTACTTTGAATGTTACAAAGTAGTTACTTTGTTTCATTCTCCTATCCTCCTCTTCCCCCTTCTGTTTTGTCTCTTTTTCATCCTCTTCCTTTTGGTCTTTCTAATTTTCTCTCCCTCCTCCTCTTCTTCTTCTTTTACTTATTTTCTCCTCCCTCCTCCCTCCTCCCTCTTCCCTCCTCCCTCCTCCCTCCTCCCTCCTCCCTCCTCCCTCCTCCCTCCTCCCTCCTCCCTCCTCCCTCCTCCCTCCTCCCTCCTCCCTCCTCCCTCCTCCCTCTCTTCTTCCCCTTCACCTCCCTGCTCTTCCTTTCCCTTTCCTCCCTCCCCTTCCTCCCTCCCCTCCCCTTCCTCCTCCTCTTTCATCCTCATTATTCTTATTAACAGATAATATTGTTCCCATAATACATGTTATTCAAACCTGATTTCCTTTTCCAGATACAACACGGGCGTTATCCTCATTCGCCTGGACATCATGCGGCAAAGCAACTGGTCGCAGAAATGGAAGCTAATTGCCGAGAGGGATCTGACCACACTCTTCTCGACACAGCTGGCTGATCAGGACATCATCAATGCCGTCATTAAGGTTGGTCATGCGGATGGGTTTATTATTAATTATTTTATGATTTATTTTGTATTTTTTTTGTGTGTTTGTAGTTGTTTGTGGAGGGTTGCATTAATGTTGGGTTTTGTTGTTGCATTTTTCAGCAACACCCAGAAATTGTGTATAATCTTCCCTGCCAGTGGAATGTCCAGTTATCTGACAACACCAGATCTGAGTTATGTTACTTGGAGGTCACAGATTTGAAGGTATGTTTAACAATCTTTTCCTGTTTGTGAAGGGCTTTGGTCTTTATTTGGAATTTAGTTCTGTTAGCGGATTTTTAATTATTTGAGTTGAGACGCTTCACATTTTAAACTTTTTTCCTCAATATTGTCATATCAGAAAACTAGAGAAACTCATATGACTAAAGATGTTAATGTGTTACATCGCAGGCAATCCACTGGAACTCGCCAAAGAAATTAAAAGTGAAGAATAAGCATGTTGAATTCTTCCGCAATCTTCACCTCACTTTCCTGGAATATGATGGCAACCTTCTTCGTAGGGAGCTATTTGGGTGCAATCATTCAAGGTCCGTTATTGTGCCTAATCCTCTGTCTCAGGTAAGTGTTGTTAGCATTATATTGTATTATTTTATGTTGGTAAATTAATTATAAATATTCTGTTAAGTTTTGTAATACGTTGGGATATACATATTAGAAAAAAAACAAAAAAACTGTATTCCTTATTTTCAGCTAAATGAAGAAGACGAGTGCTATGAATTTCGACGTGCAAGACAAACCAACTACAGAACACACTTGTTTTTCCTTGACAATGAGTATGATCCAACACCAGATGGTTTTGATGTGACACTTGTTGCCACATTATCCATGGATCGTCTGCAGATGGTGGAACAGTTACTGAAACACTGGGATGGTAAGATTTTGTTTTCTTTCTTTGTTTATTTTGGGATGGTTTTAAAGTCAGAGTAAAAAT